AAATAATGTTATGCTAAACTCAAAACCAGAGGGCAAACAATGGGAAAAAAAAAAAGCCCTGTACATAGGAAAGGTAAATTTTAAAAGTATGCTTTGCTCTTAACCTCTCTTGAAGGGTTTCATTACCAAAATAAAAACCAGTAAGTTTTAAAAAATTCCTTGTTATTCTGTATTTCAAAAAGCTATTACTTGTACCTAATAAGGTTTTCATTTAAGCAGAAAGCATCGAAAGAATGATGTCTTTGGAAGACAATAATGCTGGGAAGAAGAGGGTTTGAAGACTTGCTGTGTTAGCTTGGTTTAAAATATGGAAAAATATGACCTTGCTTCCATCAATGTAGATACCATGCTGTGCCACGAGGACTCACCCTTAGAACACTGGATGCTGCAGATACAGCATTCCAAGCTGTCCTACCCATGGAGCTGCTGTGCTCCCTAAGCTCCTGCATTGCTTCTGGGTGTCTGTGTTCGGTGGGTGCATCTGACCCAGAGAATTTCCTGCTGCTGAAGGAAATTGCATCTGCCTGGAGTTGGGCAAGAGCCATGGGCTGGACTAGCCAGCTCAGGAGAAATCATCAGGATAAAGCTACACCTGATAAGTTTTGGTTCTTTGTCTTCAACTAAAAAAGCGTTTCTTACGTCGCTATTATCAAAGTTACACTTTCCTTGGAAAAATATGGAAAAACATAGAAAAGACAGAGCACCTTGGTTTCTTTAGGAAGAAACCTGAGAAAGATCTACTGCAGTGAACCCACCATGAATGGGATGAAATGTGTAAAAAGAAAAGTGAAGATGCTTTGAACATATTCATAGAGTCAAAGAATGGTTTGTGTTGGAAGGAACATTAAAGACCATCCACTTCCAACCTCCTGCCGTGGGAAGGGACACATCACTAAATCAGTTTGCTCAGAGCCCCATCCAACCTCACCTTGAATACCAGAGATAGGGCAGCCACAGTTCTCTGGGCAAACTCCCTCAAGGATACTAAGAAAACATAGCAATGCTCTTCAAAATCACTTAGGACTGACCAGATGGACTACCAAAACATTCTAAAAAAACATTTAGATCCATCCATTCCCCCCCACCCCCAACTTTTCTTAGCTCTTTGGCCATGATCAATATTCACAGTTTTGGTTTTGATGGGACTTGGGATCAATGCAATTTATCTCTCTGACAATAAACCAAATTTATTTACTTATTCACAGTAAAACAGTGCACACAGGCATTTATAACATATTTGTCTGAGTTTCTAACTGTGCTGTGTAACCCTCTCCACCTGGATCAGTAAGGTACATTGTTCTGCCTGGCACACATAGGGGACACAGGAAGGTGTGTGAGTGACATGTTTACAGATACCTTGTCACTCATTAGTGGAAAAACATGTGCAAAGTTAATTCTGATCAGAATTTTAAATCATCAAAACTAACTTTTTATATGTAGACTACTGACCTGAGGGCAATCAGGGACTATTCTTGCAGCTAATAACAGATGCTGCTCTCTGATGTTTCATGTAACTCAGATGGTTATTTTTAGCTGCCCAAGCAGTCAGAACAGGTTGATACCACTGGCAGCAAGTAGATATACACAATCTGTCTCAAAAACGGAGGGGTATAAAACACACTTACTTCAAAATTGAGTGATTTCAAAGTTTCTTTACAAAAGTACGTGTTCTACATATGGCTTTCTGAAGCACTTTAACCTATGCCAACACTTACCATAAAAGACTGTGGATCAGGACTTTAGTCTGTTTTTGCCATTTTCTAACACTATCGCTCAAAAGAGAAAAAATATATCAGGTGTCCTACTTTATAGTCAACTTATTGACACCACTGCATCTTGTGCTACTCCTTATGGTGATGGACAACTAAGAACAGCTTAAAAACAACAAAGCAAACAGTAAGAGTAAGTGGTTTCAAAATCAATACAAGAACAACCAAGTAGTAGAGGAGTACTTGTTATTTGTTCATCAAAATGATGTGAAAAGACATTCTGTGCATTCAAAATTTAATTTAGCTACTTGCTTTATCATCATAAACACTCATTTCAATATGGGCAATGATTATTTTTTCTTCCCAAACATGAATAATATATAATTGCTGGTATTTAGGAAGAGACAAGGTCTTTGCCTTTATCCATCAGGGTAATTTATCATTGTCTTACTCCTTCTGCACTGGTGAGAGAGCTTGTCAGCTCAGCTTGTTCTTAAAAAGCCAGAGTGTAATTCAATAATAAATTCACTCAAAGGCTAGCTGTCATGAGACATTCATTTATTTGTATCCATTAGGTGATCTGCACTGCTGTTCTCTCTGAAGAGCGGCTGAGCTGTGGTTTTGAAGCTCAGGAAATATATTGCAGAGACATTCAATCACCTCCTTCACATTGCTGCCACTTCTGCACAGGCCAGACAGGGATGCCAATGTGCCAGGGCTCCCCTAGGGTGATAATCAGTCAGCCATGACCTAGTGAAGCCCAGAGGAGCAGGCTGTAGTTCCTGACCTGAATGGTGAATGTGCCCATGCAGGATACCAAACACACAGGACACAGAGATCCGTGTCACCTCTGTATTGCCTGCTCATGGGGGACTGCTCACAGCAAATGACACGGATCCAACTCCAACCCTACACATGCAAAACCAGGCAGTCCTGCCTGTCCAGACAAACGGAATCACAGATGGCCATGCTTCCCCACATATCAGTCACTGACCACTGCTGAAGCACTGTCATTTCCAAGGTGACCAGAGGAGCTGTTCAAAGGTCCAGCTTTCCAGGAAGTGAAACAGGCAATTGAAACTACAAAGAGAAGCCAAATAAGCAGAAAACCCTTGCAATGAGTTTATCCAGAACTATAGGATCTTTAAGAACTGACAGGAACTTGTGATGTCTTTTAAAATCCCAAACGAGTAGTGCCATTTCCATCAACCCAACACTCTCATGAGCTTGGACCAGCTGCTGTCTCAGGGGAAAATACACCTTCTGTTGAGGTTCTTCAAAATTACTTGCAATCACTCTTGTGAACCAAGATACTTGAGAGATGCGATACAATCACAGCTTGAGGTGACAAATCTGTAGACCATATTTAGTGGCACACACCCTATGCTGATAATTTGAGAATGGAAATCTCATAAATCATTGCTACCTCTGTACAATTCTTCATCCTAACTTAAATAGAACAGTTTTATTACTTCCACTGCATTTAATCAAAAGCAGTCATTAAAACCCTTCCTGTTGATCTGAATATTTTCATTCCCTCACTCCAGTCATCTACATATCAGACAAACATTTTTGCTAGCAGGTGCTCCTTTGGAATTCTGAATCTTTCCTTAGCAGGACATCTACAGACGGTTAGTAGGTCTTTCCTACATAGAGATCTATCATCAGACCTATGAAACACATGTAACTCCTGTAGGAATTTATGTGACCCTAAATGACACATTCTTTCTGTTGGTCTTCTGCTGGCACTCTCACAAACAAATTCACTATATCATTAGAAATTCCCACTATTTCCCCCCAGCTCTGTATGCTGTTGAATGCAAGCAGCCCTTAAAAAGAAGCTGTTTTATTTTTTTAATGCACAAATACAAAGATTCCTATAGTTCATTAGTTGTATGGGAAGTTCACTAACACAGATGTGTGTGTACTGAAATTCTCTACCTATCAGAAAGGATACACGTGGACCTGATAACAGAGTCCTCTGTGGAAATGCTTAGAAACTGCTACCCTAAATGCATCAGAAAAATTAAAAGGTGAGCATAATCTATTTCATATTCTAAAACCTGATTTTACAGCAACAAATCACAACTAGTCAAGAGTCCATACTGTTCAGTATCCAGTACCTGTGATCTTCTGAATGCCAATGAAGGAAAACAATTTGCAACATAGTAAGTGTTTGGTTATAATCTGAGTCACTGTTGTCAGCATTCTTGGACACTGAAGACCTTGGAAGCAAGAAGTAACAGGGAAAATATCACATCAGGCCGATTTCCTGACACTGCTGTGATGATGATGCCAGCCTGTAGACTACCAAAAAAGGTGATATATGGGAGCTGGTACCCAAGAGATGCTGGCAGTGTCCCCCTCCTGAAAAGCATTAGGTCATATCTAGAGGGGCCTGAGAGGCCAGTTGAGATATAAGTGCTGAAATAAATACCCACACAAACATGAGGGTTCTGTATTTTCAGTGCCAACCTATTAACTGCTGTGTGTGGGAAAGCTGAAAGTAAGCAGTTCATGACTGGGTGAAGCTCAACAGAGTTCAAACCTAAGTGTTGAAAGCCACCTCCAGGATCAGGGTCACTACTTCTGAAAGGCAACATTCAGGACAGACACCGAATGATCCAGGAATTTGACACCACAATTACCCTGCTACAAGAAGTGATTTTCAGGGATGACCAGCCCTGGCAGATAGGAATATACTTAAAACAAATTGCTGAGATGCAGTTCACAGAAATGAACTGCTATGCTTTGTTTCTCAGTTCCTGTTTCTTGATGATGATTGCAGCAATAAAGAATTTCTTGGCTTTAAAACCAATCTATATTCGACCTGATTGCTTATATAGCAAATCACTCTAACAGCTCTCTGTAGATGGTACAATTTTCCTCAGCTCTTTTGAGGTCTCTAATATTCACACTATAGATTGCAAATAGCATTCTAGTTTCCTTCTTTTTTGTCTCTGTCAAAGGAAAATGTGTCACTGCTCTTTAGGAGACACTTGTGCACAATGTCAGTCACTTCATCTAGGAGAGATGAATGGATGCCTTTCACTCCTTGAAATAAGGCAAGTGAGGAAACATGCAACTGCTCTCATGCGTTGGGAGAGAAGCATCTTGTCTTACTGGGAAAGCGTAGGTGGAGAGACAGTCAGCAGAACTACATCAGCCACAAAGTTCTTCAGCTATTATTTCACTTAAACATTTTTCATTATTCTGCATCTTGCTGCCCTTCCATGTCTTAAAGTGGCTTATGCTTTACCACTTACTGAATGAACCTCAAAATTCACTTACCCGCCTTCAAAAGGATTGTCCCCTGGGATGACGTGAGTGCTGTCCTTGCCAATGAGGAACTTGATTCGATCATAGAAGGAATGCAAGCTCTGCTGGGAGACGGGGGCTTGTGTCTCCTGGATGATATCCAGGGGGTCTGGAGAGCCCAGGCACAGAGCATTAACGTGGCACAGTGGCTGCAAGCAGCAGTCTGGATCCATGCAATCCACCAGGCCATCTACAGAAGGATAAGGAACATTTTAGAGCAATGGAAACATGGAGTGCTGCAGACTTCAGGATGCAAGAACCCTTTCCAATGCCCCCAACAGAGAAATGCAGACTTTCATCTACGTTGAGTAAGGCATGTTCACTTAAAGTCACAATAAGGAACCTAAAATACACATTAATATATAATATAAATATGCAGTAGGATGTAATATATGAAAACTCATATATTAGACTGGGCCCTCAAAAAGGTGTATTTTAGATTAATCTTGGGATGTGCCGTTCCACAACTCAGTCAGCTGGATAACTCCAGAGCCCCTAAGATTGTCGTGGGGTTTTTTTTGCCAAAATACACAACTTCTGTACCTTGCTACTGTTCCTTGTGCAAATCACAGACACGTTGCATCACATCAAAGCTACCAGGCTTGCTTTCAGCAGGACTAAATAGTAAATAAAGCCATGGTATCTACCATGGCTGCAGAGAGAGCTATACATGTAACCTAGTAAAATAGAGTAGAAAGTAAAGGAGATTTTTTGCTGGGAAGGTTTGATCTCTTTTGACCTTGGTCACATTGATTTGATAGCGACACAGAGTAACAGATGACCTCAAACTCTCAGGATATAAATCTTGCACTTTCAGCACCATTAAATTAATAGTAACAACAATAATAGCAGTGGACACACATGAAAAGGCTTGCTGAGCATACTTCAGTAAAATGAGGGTTTGCATAGCTGTCAAGCCATCAAATGCACAGACAGTACCACTTCCCCTCCCACCACCACAGCAACATCCCCCCCATTCATTTTGAGATGCCACTGCTCATTGCAAACAGCACAGTAAAAAGCGGTGACAGGAAAAGAAATACAAAAAAAAGCTCAAAAGAGGTTTGATGAAGCATCACATTCAGCAATAAAAGTTGTTAGCATGTAGTAGAGAGAGATCTTTAAATCAGATAAGGGAACTGGATGTTTTTGTTCTGGGGTAATGGGATATGGTGCCCTTCACTTCCAACTCATCAGTTCAAGCAAGACAGTTTGACAGTGAATGAAAATTACTACCATGTGATGGCTGTTCACAGACCTATGTGAAATGAGTGGTTGGTCTCTGTGTAGCTGTTGGGAGCTCCATATATCACAGAAACCACCTTTACAGCAAGCATCCTACTAACGACTCCAGCAGAGAGGCAAGAAATGAACGTGCCTGGAGAGCAACACTCTCCTGAGAGGTAGTACCCTCCTGAAGTGGGATGAAATCTTTAGTTTTCAGGATAATGGACTTTTTATCTCAAAAAACCAGTAAATTAAAACAAGACATTTTGTCATTATTACTGTTTGTGAGCTTTGTCCCAGTTTTACCAGTATGTATTAGAAGTCCTTTCACTGATGTTACTGGCATTACTTTGTATTTACTGCAATATAAATAGGATGAAATCTGATCTTTTATTTTTCTAGTACTTAAGATGGCTTGGACACATCATGGACTTGGATTCTGTTGAATTATGCCTGTTCCAAACTTGGAATAGCTTAGTGTTTAAAACATTGCTGACATCATAATTTCATGTGGTTACTCACACACAGAAAGTGAACAACAAACCTGGTTGTGGTTCCCAGAGCTTCCTGTGTCCAAGTAGGCCAAAGACAATGAGTACCTGCTCTGTGTACACACACACACATACACCATACACACACTGGGTCACTTCAACAAGTGCTCTGCACTTGCCATTAATGTTAATAGGAGCACTGTTAAGACAGCAAAAGTGCTTTGGAAAATGCCATCTGTTACCCTTACCTCTGTCTGTCCTAACATCTCTACATCTTTATAACTCCTTACAAAACTGCCACAAGAAATTTTTGTCTCGGACACTAAACCTACCCACTGGCCTTTTCTCTTGATGACTAGTGATAAGGAAAAAGAACTAATTAGAGTTCTTTGCCCATTAAAAAAATTACTTGCTGCAGATGATTAGATCAGTAGGATTCTGGAAGGTCACATCTCAGATGGAGTTTAAGAGACCGTTCACAGAATACAGATCTGCTCAGATGTAACAGGCTTAGCCACAGCTACCTACTTAAAAATAAGAAAAAGGAGGAAAAAGAAACAACAAACCAGCCTTGTTACTACATTGACTACAGTTTCAAGTCAGATAAAATGTTGTCTTTTTCTCCCACACATTAATAATGTTTTCTAAGGCTGCAGACACCTGGCTGGAAGGACGGCAAACCAGCTGTACCATACCTCTTCATTAACCTGTCTTTTTTCTAGGCAACAGAAATGTGTTTTGGGGCCTGAAGCTGCAAGACAGCAAGAAAATGTAGATAAATGTGTGAAAAATAGATGCAGAGGACAATATTTTGAACAGGTGAGAATGATGAGGACTTATCTGCAGATAAGCCTTTCAACTAATGTGTTTTGGACCTATGTGGAATAAATTGAGGATAACTACACCGGAGAGGTCTGTCACTGACATCCTAAATTCATGAAGGTACTCGAGGGCTGAAATGACATTTAGCTACTAAACTCCTTCTAATATCAAGAGCAGTTTCAGGACAAAGCATCTCATTAGCTTAGGAAATGTAATGGCTATTTCTGTCTAAGTCATGCAGAATAGTAAGAGTTAATCTATAAGCCAGATCATAAATAGTGATGTCTCCATGTGCATACTCTTTTCTTGATTTTTTTTTATTGTATGGCCCAAAAGTCATCCAAGTGGTGCCATACAGTGAATTGTCAGGAGATATAATGACAGGGTACACAGCTCTTTCTCATGCCCTGATATCTCTCACTGGATCCATCAGAAGAGTGAGGATTATGTGACATTTGCAAGAAGCTCCTGACCCATGAAGAGCAAGGTGTTCAGGGAGCTGCATGGATTAATAAAAAAAAAAAATCAGAGCAAAATAAAACTCTGGCTTTAACTGTCCAATTCAACAAAAACCATATGGTGAATTTTCATTAGAAATCACTACAATTTTTTCAGAGAGGTAACAGAGGGAAATGAACATGGGATAAATGCCCTCTGCACCCCAAGTTTTGCAGCAGCAAAGCCACAGAGACCCATGACCTGCATGTGGATTCCTAACTCCAGTAGCTGCCAGAGCACAGGTAGGCTGCACAGTAAGTTTCTAGTTATGGACACCTTTATACAGCTCTTGGTTTCAAAAAGTGACAGCTCCCTTACTTAAATAAACTGTAATACGACCATGGTACTACAGAGCAGAGAACAAATGTGTTCTTGAATTATCTCTGTGAGAAGTCTTGCATAGGGGGATTACAGCAATTCATATGTTTTAAGGCTACTATGATCATTCTGTCTGACCTTTTAGACCCATACGCTGTTTATTTTTTTCCCACCCAGAACTGGATTAAAGTCTGTGTTTTAGAAAAGTATCTCATATACCAAAGAGAGCTAATTATAGTGAGTCAATCACTTCCTCCAGTAAGCTTTTGAAATACTTAATTACTGGTAGGGAACTATGTCTTATTTCAAGGTTGGACTTGTCTAACTCCAGTATCCCATGACTGGTCTCGTTTGGCCTTTGTCCATAAAGTTACCAATAGCTCCTCTGAGCTGCCTGCTCTGGTGTCTTTTCCATGTGCAAGTACCTCCACACAGAACAACAATCCATTTCAAATCTTTTCTCTGAATAGCTGAAGAAGAACAAAATTCCCATTTTAAGATTTGTTTCCCATCCACTGGACTTTTTGGTGTATGACATCCTTTGATCTCTTTCCAGTAATTTCACATCTGTTATGTGTGGACACCAACACTGGACACAACACTATGTCAGCAATATTGGGTGCAGAAAAGAGACCACTTCCTCTTCTCCCGAGGAGTTTTTGGGCTTCTCTACTTCTAAGGTTCAGAGAGGTGAAGGCATAAAAGCCTTGCACTGAGAACTCATGTTGAGACAATTACCTCCAGTGACCTCACAATCCTGTTCTGAGTCACTGCTTCTCAAGAATCTCTCAACCCTCCAGTATAACATCCTTTCTTTGTTCCCAGGGCTATTTTGCATTTTGCTGCATTATGATATATTTTGTTTGATTGTGACCTTGCAGCGATGTGAATCAGATCACTCTGTGTTTAAATGATCAGGGTACATTATTTACCACCATATCAAGCTTTAGGTGAGCTGAAAATTTCATCAGAAGAGAAGTAAACTACATTCTAAGACAATAATGAAAATGCTGAGTAGGGCTAGATACAACAACCAGTTCCAAGGGATCCCTACAGAAACATCTTCAATGATGGATGCCTTCCAATTAACAAATTAATTCAGAGATGTGTCACTAAGCCAGATTTTAAGACATCTCTTGTGTTCCTTCTTATTTTCATGCAATGGGAATTTTTACATCTTTGAGACCATTTATGCATTCTATATCACATACATATCCTTTGACTGTTCTGCTAAAACCAAACCCAAACTCTTTTGTGCCACTTCTTTGCATGAAGCCATGAAATAAATACCTTTTTGCAATCTTAAGAGTTACCATGGGGTGAATCAAACCACTGTTGTGAAAAGGGAACCATCAGCAAGACGTTGTCACATCTGGTAAATAACGTGTTCAGTGGTTTGCATCTTTCACTAAGATTCAAGTAATCATAGAATAAATCAGTGGATGGCACTTCTGCAGGTCATCTTGTGAGCCCTGGCTCATTCCCTTCAGAGAGGGACATGAAGGAGAATGAACTGGGCTCAGCAGAAACCCTTCCTTTTCTGCCACTGAGGATAAAACAGCTCCAGTTTATTCAGCCAACATTGTATTTTAGGGGACCAAGACCATTTTTATCAGGTAATCTGCACTCTGTATACCACTAGACAATGAGTTTTATTTTGGGATGGCTCATCTAGCTCATATCTTGTGGGTGGAGTTGCAATTTTTTTTTAGAATGATACTCTGACTCCCTTAAAGATTTGAAACCCACCAATCCTGTTAGTAAGCTCTTCAAAACACTGCTTTAGACTGTTAACTCCCTGGGAGCAGAGACTGTCTTTTCTGTTCACAAAACA